TACTGTAAAGGTTTTGTTAGTGGGTAATTAGTAAATATATGGTTAAAGCTTACGTTTGAATTTGATCCTCCAAAACTTCAACAAGTCTCAATTTAAAATCTCTTGAGTCTATGAGGTGTACTTCCAGCCTCTAATGCTAATATTATTAATCTCATCAATAGAAAATGTTGACTCAATAAAAAAAAACGATAATTGTCCAATTAAACGCCAATAAAGAATACTCAAAATTTAATTCTTTAATACTCCTATAGTCCTTAATATAAGATTTAATTGGAAAGTTAACATTGGTCTTATATGTAAGACCTATTTCACATGTTTATCAATTTTTTTTAAATTAACCATATTGATATTTTCCCAACAATAATCAAGTAGGAGAGGAATGGAAGAAATTAAGAAAAATGCTTAGGATGTTTTTTTAAAAAAAAACATATTGCATTAACTAATTTAACTAACATTTTTAATCTGCTCAAATTAATTAATTAGGTCTCACATTAAAAACTGGAAAAGTAAAATATTTTTATATTTTAAAAGATGAGTTGTTGATATTTCAAAGTCCAGATCAAACGATATTTTCATTAATTTTTATTTGAGAAAATTATTTAAAAAGATATTTAAATAACCCAAATTCTTATTTTAGTCATTAAATTTATTAAACTCATAATTAGGTCACAGGACCCAAAAGACCTAATTAGGGCTTTAATAAATTCAATAACCAAAATAAGCATTTGGGGTATTTAAGTGTCTTTTTAAGAGATTTTTTCTTTTTATTTTAAATATTTTTCAATTTACAAGTTTCAAATAAATATTAGCCAGCATTATAAATTTAGAGGACTAAACGAATACTTCAACTGTGTAAATATTTTTGTACGTGTGTGAGGTCTATCATAAATTTGGCGTCACGCTTATGAAATCTTTATAGTCAACTCCCAAGATTTGTTTCATCTAAACATTTTTTACATGTAAAAGTGATTGAGAATTTCGTTTATAAATGTCTGTGTGTGCGTGTGTTATTTAAGTATCTTCGAATTAACTAAAGTTTGACTCATGTGTGACTGCAAGAAATTAAAAGGCAGGCTTATGTTACATACCTTAATTTAACAAAAGAAGACTATAATTATATGCTCACATGTATTGTCGAACATCGATGGAAACCCAAAATATCGTTCTTTTGTTTCGTCTTGTACGAAGTTAGTCTTAGAGACTAAGAATGCGTTTTCAAACTTCCTCGTCGTACGAAATTGGATTGATGACTGGAAATTTACAAAGAAATCTCAGCATGGGATCGCATGCATGGCATCCTATATAATCGCATATCAGGTGAAAAATATATTTCCTACATATTTAAAGTAGGCTGATAATTAATCCCTCCATCCCATATAATAAGCAACATTAGAGCTCATCACGTAGATCAAAATGTTAGTTAAAACTAGTTAAAGATAATGAATATATAAAAATTAAAAGTTCTTTCACTAGAATGCCCTTATTTATAGGGGGAGAGTATAAGAGAGAGAATAAAAAAATTATTATAATAAAGAGAGTTGTAGAAGAGAGAATATGTGTGATGGAGAGATGATGGTTTGGGAAATGAGATAATAAATATATTGAGTATTAAAATAAGTAATTAATGAGAGCAAAATAGGGAATTCTCTGCAAAAATTTAAGACAAATAGTAAATGTTGCTTATATTTAGGGACAAGAGGGAAATGATAGTTGTTGCTTATATAATGGGACAGGAGTATGTATAAAAAAAAGTAGGCTGATAATTAAATTGCATTCTCATTTAGTGAAGTTTCAATATTGATGACTTTAATTTCAGCAGCGGTGATTTTGAAAAGTTATTATCAAAAGTGGATTTTAATTTCAACAACATCATCAAGTTATTGCTAAAAGAGACTTTTTAATGACAACCGTAAAATGTTGATAAAAGAAGACTTTCGATGACAACCATAAAAGGTTACCACTAAAAGTTGGTGACTTTTAATATCATTGGTAAAAGTTTGACAAACTCGAATGTTCAATTAGAGTTTTAACAGTAACTCTAGACAATCACCACTAAAAGTAAGATTCTTGGCAATGACTTTGCAAGTTGTCACCAAGAGTCTGATAAAATATGGACTCAAGTCACTGTTAAAAGTCTCACTCGAAGTTAAACTAGCCGACTAGGCATACAACTTTGACTTTTTGGAGTCGCTCTTAAAAGCTTTTAGCGACAGTTAGTATTATAGCTCAAAGCTTTTAATGGTAAAAAGATATTATTTATATATATATATATATCGTGTAACAAAGTACCTATACACTAATTATTATTTGAAGTTTGTGATCCAATAATAATCATCCTTTCTTAATATATTATGCTTGTTCCTTTTAACAGGCTAAAATACCATTATTTAATGGTTTTAGGACCCCCTCTATTTTCGGAATCTACAATTTAGTTAATCTAATTTTTAACACTATTAATAATATTTTATTATAATTTTGAAATATTTAAATTTATTAATTGAAATCATGTTAAATAATATAAAAATAAAATTATTAATTTCACTCTACAAATCTGAATAATTTTAAATAACTATGTATAGTAGTATTTTAATAATATTTTACAAAAATGTTGAAGTTAATAAACATAAACTAAAAATAACAAAAATTATTTAAAGAAAATGTCACTTTATTTTTTCCTTCTTTTTTATTGACCTACAACTCACCCTACCTTTATCACTTGAAGTAGCCTCGTGTGGCAAAAAGTGTTGTTTTATAAATAAAAAAAAGAACATGGCCATTCACAAAATTGAATTCCAAATTTTGGATCATAGATTTTGGACAAAAATACATATTTAGTTTTACCTTTACAGAATATTTCATTTGGGTGCTTAATTTTATAAAGTGTTTTTTTTTTTAGTTTTCTAGATCTAACATCTATAAAAAAAAATGTTGGCATTGAAATTTTAATTGTGAGCAAAAATTTCTCAAATAAAATAATGAGTGACTTAAAAAAACATCATTTAAAATTGAATACGCAACAAATGAAATATTATTGTTTTCGGACCACTTCATGTTAAAACTCGAAAACAAATTAATTTGGGATATTCTATTCACCAAAAGTAAGAATCAATTTGGGAGAATCTATATCCGTTCTTTTGAGCTGCTGATAGATCCGCATCTTCTGCCAAATGGTGTGCAAGTGTGTCGTGTAAGAGGTCAATCAATTCAGTTGGAAAAAATCGAAAAATTATAAGGAATATTTATAATTTTATTATTATGTGAAAAAAATAATAGAAATTCTGAAATATAACTGAAAACGATGACTCCAATTTGAAAGAGAAAAATTTGGCAATTAATTTCCCATTTTGCATTTATTTTCTTTAGTATATTTATATCATAATCGTCATCCTAAACACATATATCCCAAGGGCTTATTTGAATTAACATTGATAAAAGTTACTTTTATTATCCCAGCTGACTTTTGTTTATTGAAGTTGGGATAAAATTAAAGTCAATTAATATAATGTAATTTATATTTGAGCAGAATTTTTTATTAAAAAAATATTAGTTTAAACAGGAACTTGTTTGATTGCTATATTGAAAAGTTACTTTCAGAAGGTTCAAATCTGAAAATTGCTTCAATTTTAAAGTAGCATTGGGAAAAAAGTCAGTTGCCCTTATACCCCAAAAAAAAAAATCCCCCCCCCCCAAAAAAAAGTGATAATAAGTATACTATTTTGTCCAACTAATTTTTTTTGCTCCCAATTAATTTATAAGACTTCCTAGAGACATTCACTTAATCTACGTACATATAAACCACATGATATATTATTGAAATCCTAGTCAAGCATATAAACATGTACGTTAGACTAGGAACTCTGTCAAATTAATATACATGCTTGAAACTATTAGACACATTCATAATAAAGCATATATATAGGCTTTAACTCACTATAGACATGATTAGCTATAACATGGAGTTCATCTATTATCAAAGTCACACCTACTCAAACTGTGGCCATTGGCTATTAGAGCACTTGAGGAATACTCCTCCGATTCTATTTATAAATCACTTCATACATATTTTATCAAAATTAAAAAATAAATCATTAATTTTGTCTTAAAATTTAATAACTTTTCAATGTCATCACTATTTAATATATCACTTTTAAAGAAAATATTACCTCCGGTCTTCAATATAAGAACTAGTTAACTAATTTGATTAAATTAAGAAAATGAGTTAAGTTAGTTATTTGTTATAAATAGGTATTGTCTTTTCTGAAATATCTTTGTTAATCAAGTTTATTAGTTAGAATTTTCATTATTAATAGAACTATCTTAAGAAATTATTAATAAGTATAAGAGACAAAATAGATTGGAGTTTTATATTTAGGATTAAAATAGAAGTCACATAAGGTCTTATATTAAGGATCGGAGGTGGTAACAATTTACATAATAACAAATGAATAGTAAAATAACACGTTTATGTTAAAAATTTAAAGATGTACTATCTGCTTGAGTACTACTTTAAATATTAAACCAAAAATATTCTAAAAATGACTGTTTTAAACACATCGTGTGCAATAACTTTTCAGAGTAAGATGCATGCCAAATTTATTGCAGAAGATTCAACCTATATACTCCTTTGGTCCTATTTAGAGGGCAGAGAGAGTTTTTTTGTCCTATTTATAAGTCACTTCATTAAATTTTTAGTATAAACATACTCTTTCGTTCTTCATTTATTATAGTATAGATAGTTATCTTTTTTGAAAGATATATATATTAAATAAGGATAAAGTTAAAAAAATTGTTATATTTTAATAAAAAATTAATACATTTTAAGGTTTTTTTTTAATCTGTGTGAAATATATTAGAAGTGCTTTATAAATAGAATCAGTGGAGTATCAGAGAATGGCCGATGATTACAAGTTCCAACACCAGCTTTATGATTTTGAAAATAATATGGCAGGCTCGTCATTGGGAACGGGGTTCTGTAATTTAATGTCAATCTCCATAAACAGGCCACTAGCCCTGGCTCGGAAAAAGCTCCCATTTTCGGAAACCTCATTCAATCCGAAAAACCAGTGCTCTATAATTTTATCCAAATGGCACAAACTCTTCCAATTCATGGCCAACCAGCGAAAGGAATCCTCCCTGCTTGTCCAATCGATGGGTAGGAGTGCTCATCCCCAAAACGGTAGTGTGTGGGGATGGGATCCGGATCCCTATTTTTTCCCCCGTTTTTTCATTAATTTTATTTTTTGTTTATTTTGGTTAAAATATAATCCCCGCTGTCTTTATTATCAACTTCAAATAACTAATTTTAGGATAACCAACAATTTGTTAAAATTAATTAAGAGCAACAAATAGGTTAGAAATATAGTTTTGTTTTCAAACATGTCTTTATGATAAATGCGAAAAAATGAAAGAGAATATATGAAAAAATGTATTAAGAAAGTATGACAAATGAGAGAGAACAAATAATTAAGGATAAATTTGAAAAAAATATATTAAATGTTTAGACAAACCGAAATTAAAGCTTATAAAATGAACTACACCCCTCTTCAAATTTAAAGCTTATAAATAGGAATGGAGGAAGTATCTAGTACTACAGATTCTAGAGTATTTTTCCAATAACATCCGCTGTCATAAATTTATTGAGTGCTGCTTAAAAAATTTTCAAAGTGTTGTATACAACGTAACACAAATAAACAAAAAATAAAATTTAATTAAAAAAAAAAGGGTACCACCCTCATCCCCTAAATGCTGCACTGAGCATGTTCTGCTCATAGATTTATGTGTAGAGTGTGTAGACCCGTGCGAAAAGTTACTTTCTCAAATTTACTCTGTGGAGTATGCGAAAAGTCACTTTCTCAAATTAACTCGCTTGATCAATACTCTGCCATTTTCATTTGTGCTGACTTAATCTTGAATGGCCTTATCTTTGCCCAAGGCTATTAGGACGGAATGATATAGGTAAAAACAAAAAAAAAACACAAAACTTACAAAATTTAATATGGAACTGATATGATAGGGATAGGCTATGCCTCATCCGGTTCCGAATACATTTACACTTGCGTATACGTTATACACACACTTAATTGGTTTTTAATTGTTCAAAATATTGCTACAAGAGAGAACAAGAGACTTGGGGATTAAAAGAGGCATATAGAAGAAGGGTTATGTTACCTCTGGTCCTAATTATAAAATCTAGTTGACTAATTTGAGGAGACTAATGAAGTAAGTTAAGTTAATTATTTGTAATAAATAAGTGTTGTCATTCCTAAAATATCCTTACTAATTAAGTGTATTGACTAGAACTATCATTATTAAAAGGACTATCTTGAAAAACAATACATAAATATGAGAGACAAAATAAATTGGGGTCTTAAAATTAGGATTAAACTAAAAGTCAAACGGGGTCTTATATTAAAGACCAGAAATAATATTAACATAAAAGTAGCATAAAGTCTTTGGCTTTCACTGCCAAAGCTCTTATTTTGTGCTTGTTTAGCAAAGTTCATAATTACTTGAATAAAACCCCTTATGCATTTCATGGTATAAAATTTATTTAAGATATTCATCTCGTATAATACAAAATAACTTAAAATGAGCTAATGCTATGAGATAATGAGACCAACAAGCCTGGTTACTTTAGAGCCAAATCCTTAACCAACGCTTGTCCTCTACTTTCATAAGTCCACGTGTCACCTCCCCACTTGTCTACTAATCCCAAAATTCATCGCTCTCCCAGCCCCATCGACTCTTGGATCCCACATACGAACTCCCCACCCTCACATATTTCACGCGCCCCATACTTGCTCTCTCCATTCGACATCTGTCACTCAGTTGGCTTCAGTTCCTTCTTCGATGCTTCCCCTCGGCAACACTCGAGCGTTTAAGCCGCATACCTAATTAATTTGAATAATAAACTGCATTCATCAAGATGAAATATTTTTTCGGGTGTATTTAGTATTTTAAAATATTTTTTAGATGTATTTAGTACCGTAAAATATTTTTCGGTGCATCAGCACTTTAAAATTTTTTTAGATACATTCAGCACCAAAAATATTTTTTGATGAATCTAGTGCCAAGGCGAAAATAAATACTTCAAGGTGCTAAACACATCTTAAAAATATTTCGAGATGTTGGATGAACCACAAAATATTTCGGGGTGTTGAATGCAATTGAAAAAATATTTCGAGACATCCAGCATTTTGAAAAAAATTTTTAGGTCTGTCCAGCACCGTAAAGTATCTTTTGGTTCATCCAGCACTTTAGAGTTTTTTTTTTTGGACGCATCCGGCATCAAGGCAAAAATAAATATTTCAGGATACTAGACGCGCCTTAAAAATACCTTGGGATGCTTGATACACTACAAAATATTTCGGGGTGTTAAATGTAGGTGATAAAATATTTTGAGATATTGGATGCACCTTAACCAATTAATTAATATGATTTTTTTAAATACTTTAAGCAACTTCCTCAATTACCTTTCTTCCCTTCTTACTTGATTATTATTAGGGAATATTAATAGAGTTAGTTTGAAAAAAATTGATAAATATGTAAAATAAGTCTTATATATATGACCAATATCAACTTCTTAGTTAAATTCCACGTTAAGTACTAAAGGAGTCTTTTTTTTTTTATCCACAAACCGGTTTTCTTGCTGCCCAACCCGGTTTTCCCTTTTTCCCCACTAAAAAAAATATTTAAAGCCCAGAATTATGAAAATCGAGACAAACAAAATAATGCTACTTCAGGCTTTCCGTATAAAGTGTTCGAACTTCAACATCATTCATAGAAAGCCTCTGTCACTCGGACCTTCCAAAAGAGAGAGGAAAGAAAAGAAGAAGAAAAAAAATCCTCTTCTTCAACTTCTTCGGCCAACTCTTAACATTTTTGCCTGTAAATTTCCGCTTCTGAGGCATATATGCACTACTGATTAAGATTCTCCCTTGTTTTTATTTCTCCATGTTCTATCTATATGGTTTCAGTACAATTTATTTTGATTCCGCTTCTGGAATGGTGTTTTTGATTGTGAATTTGTTCGACGAGATACAATATTTGCTGATTGTTTGTGTGGTTGATCTGAAAGGCGAAGGCCTTATAAAGAGAAATTAAAATGGGGAGAGGGAAGATTGTGATTAAGAGGATTGAAGATTCAGCAAGCAGGCAAGTGACTTTCTCTAAGAGAAGAAATGGATTGCTCAAGAAAGCAAGAGAGCTTTCGATCCTCTGCGACGCGCAAGTTGGCGTGATTGTGTTCTCCAGCACTGGCAGGCTCTATGAATATGGCAGCTCCAGGTATGCATATGTGTATGTGTGTATATATTCCTTGTTCCCAATTCGTTTACATTTCTTTGTTTTACCAGAAACTAGCGCATCTTTTGATCTGGCTTTGACTTCTTCATTTTTCTTTTTACTGTGTCAAGTTTTCTTGAAATTAAAAAATATATATATGTATAAAACACCCCCTTGAACATATATTATTCACCAAGAGTATCAAGCTGTGAGCTTGTAATTGATGTTTAGTAGTACGTTTGGCTATTAGTTTTCTCCTTCTAAATGCCTGACGGATATCAAAATTTCCATGCATGCAAGCTCTGATGAATATGTGATATATAAGAAACTCTTCGCCCTTCTGCTAGCTGAGATCTTTGTTCTTTTTGTTCATGTACTTTTCTCTTATCTTTGTTTTTTGTGCCCTTTTGTGGGTCATTCTTAATTTGAGCCAATAATATGTTGATTAGATTGCCTGATTAACCCAATGATTGACAGTTACACACTTTCTAAAATTCAGATATAGAAGATGCTAGGCAGTGAATTCGATGAAAAGGAATATTTGAAAGTATTCTAAGAATATTATCTAACTCTATCGATGTTTTATAGCCGGCTCCAAACTTGGGAAAAGAAGGAGGGTCATGTTATTCTAAGAATTCTATCTAACTCTATCTATGTTTTATAGCTCGTCCCAAATCTGGGAAAAAGAGAAGGGTTATGTTAGACTCTCGAAGTAAAGCTCTGTTAAATCTTTCTATGACAGCGATCGATGAAAAAAATTGTGCTACTCTTAGAATTCAATCTAGAGTTACTGGTTTGCTAAAAAAAAAATCTAGAGTTACTGTTGTAAAGATATTTAAAGTTCGAAAAGAAGAAATTTTAACACAATAATTGAAGCATGTTTAAGGTCCAATCATCACCTCTTTTTCTCTCTTCTTCTTTCAAACATTACAATGAAAAATAAAATTCTAAGAGATTCAGACTAATTGAACTACATAAGATGAATATTAGATTGTACACTGTAGATGCCTTTTCCGTACCTAAGCAGATAGTCTCTAAGCATTGATACTATGATACTTTGAAAAGTTAGGCATGCATAAGATACTTTTAGATTTCAAAAAATATATATCTTCTGGTGAACTGCTGAATAATTCATTGATTTTATATATACGTGCATAAGCGATTTTGCACACTATTATGATGATTCACTTATTTTGATTGGTTTATTAACTTGTGATAAATATTTGGTGATATTGGGATCCAATAGAACTAGGCAATTTGTAATGTTTATGTTATAGCATATTAGTAAGGACTGGGTTGGTATACAACTGAGAGGTGTATGTACTTGTGCTATGGCTTGACCGTCTATTTTGAATCTTCAAACTATATATTCTTTTGTTCTTAAACGTAGAAGTTAGTTAAGGAGTTGATTGTAGTCTTAAATATAAAACCTTAATTTATTTATCTATCAAATTTGTCTTTTTTCTTGTCAAACTCACTTATTTAATCTATAGAAGGATATGCAGTCGAATGTTCTGTAGGAGTATTTGAAGGAGATTATGTCATATTTGTTAGAATTAAATAATTTATTTAGCTTCTTTAATCTACCTAAATTAATTGAGTAACTCTTACATTAAGAATTAAAGAAGTAGTTTTTCCCCTTACATAGCATAACTAATATTTATTATATATAGTCGTTTTCAAATCTTTTGGGTTAACGAATGCTAAATAAAATGTTGAGAAAACAAAACTAAGTTTTGCAAATTTAAAATGGTAAAGTAACATCCAATCTAGCATTCTAATTTTATTTATGATGCATTCAGCACCCAGATGTCATTTTCCTGATACATCCAACATCCCCTAATGTAATCCAACACTCCAATCTTATTTATGA